TCTCAGAATCCTCATGAGAAGGCCACACCCACAAGGACACATCATCAGGCTGTGACCTAATTGACAGGCTAGACTTCACCCCTACACTTCAGGCTAGACTTCACCCCTATTTATCAAACTGATATGAAATTATGTAATTACCACAGATTCTAAGGAAATCTAATCACCATTAAAATGACTAGCCCTAAAGTAAGCAACAATTGTTCAATATTCTTCATTGTTATGTCTTTTTACCCGAGTGAATTGTAAACATATCTCCATGAAAAAGAATGCTTACAAATAGCAGAGTTGCCAGTCGCTTCAGTATTGGGGCTTAAAATTCAAGTCAGTTCTGAACTCAATCTTTGTTAGTTTATAAAGCATAATATATATGAGGCTAAACTAAAAAAGTATTGCTAGTAGGGTTCCAGTTCATATTGATGCCCCTTTAATCCAAACAAAAGGTATTTAAACATGTTTCTGAGATTAGTAGATGGATGTATACAAATTCTCTCAGTCACACACTTGTTTTAGTTTAGTTAGAATGCTTTCAAAGAATAAATAAATTAAAATGAAAGATCCAATCCAAACAGTGGCTTCTGAGAGCATCCGCTGGTCCAGTTCCATTTAAGGCAGAACTTAGGGTATCCAAGGTCAACAAGCACTTGGTCAAGATGCTGTGTCATTTCATCGCCTGTTCATTATGTTACCCACTTATGATATTACCCACTGATTATGTTACATGTTTGCTGTGTGACATGTATACTTATTGAAAGATCTGTAAGCCCCATTATATGTACCCATTGGAAAATTCTTTCACTCTCTTGGTCCCGACATAGGGACAAGGAGCCCCTGTGCCCTGCTGTCTGTCTTATTGTCTATAATTGCAAAGTCAGTTCTAAGGACCTGTTCAACTGTTGGGGACCCATACCCTGACACCTGGTGCCAAACATGGGGCATCAAGGAGGGGCCTCCCTGAAGAGAACAGAATCCCCCCCCTCCCCATACAACAGCTTTGCCACCTCATAAAGATTGATGAGAATTGGGGAAATATATTTTGAAGGGAGAATTTAGTGGGCACACACACACACACACAC